GGAGCAGCAGCCCATCTTTGTGGCCAGGGCGCTGGAAGGATTCCGGAACAGCAACACCACGTCCCTGCCTACGGAGGCTCCGGACCACCTTGCAACGGCAGAATCACATGACGACAAACCTCTCCATGGACTGGTCACAGGGGACAGCCCCTGGGCAGTAGGGCATGGTGCCCATAAGGGATCTAGAAGTTTCCTGTCCATGGGTAGGTAACTTGGCCTCTTCTAGCTCAGGCAAAGTAAAACAACTGGACATTTCTGGCAGAGCTAAAACTCTAATTTGGAATCAGAAGTGGTGGAGATATTAGTTAAAGGATTAAAGGCCATGCTTACAGCTTAAAAATGAAGCCTTAAGCTGCACCAAGTCATGAAGTGATTAATTTTCCTCTCAGCAAACCTCCGGGAGGTTCTGGAATGAGTCTTTCCTGCCAGGTTGTCTTTTTGAGGAACCTGGGGCTTTCACACCTCTGCCCCTCAGCCAGGACACCCTGTGCTCTTGTTGGAGTTTGTTTCACGTCCCAAAGATCCCAAGCAGCTGGTACGTAGGCCCCTGGGGGGCCTGGGAAGGCATGTACCAAGGGGCTCCCCGGAGATGCCATTCCTGACCATATGGGCCGAGATCTTTATCAGGACGGGTAGTCCCTCCTTCCACCCCATGTGGGGTGGCCTCTCGTTCCTGACTGTTGAGTTCTGTTGTCCTGAGCCAGGCGTTAAGGGGGACTCCTGCCCTTCTGCTCAACCCGTTGGTCACAGCTATAGCCCAGGGCCAACTAACGGCCTGTCACCCCAGGGCCCTGCCCATCTGTCTGCCAGAGGCTTGGTTCTTAGCACTCATACTGCTGACATCTGTTTTCAGAAGTCTGTGTGAATTACTCAGTGCTGAGAACTGCTGTCATCTGTATAAATGTTTGCTCAGAAAAGGAAAGCCCAGTCTGAGAGGTTGAAGGTTTCACTCTCCAGCCAGAGTAAAACACACTGTCCCCAGTCTCAGCCTGTAACGCGTACGGGCTCCACATCCTTCCAGATCCTCCCACTGGTAAGACAGGCTAATAGAGAAGACTCACGAATGGTTTCCTTTTTGTTTTACATCATAATTTACTAAAATAAAGCATCTATTACTGTGATCTAAGAATGTAAAATGATTCTGTATCCATGTAAATAAGATTACTGCAAAAAGATATTTAAAGCATAAATGTGGTCATTTCTTCTTTCAAAGAGTTCAAACCACTTTTCACAGGGGGCTCAGCAGTGGGATTGCTGATGTTCATCTATGCATGCGAGCCATCCCACATCACCACTGGCCTTCCTGGGGCTGCCCCGGTCCCCGGTCCATGTGAGAGCACACACGCACTGACGGTCGCATGGTGCTCTGACGAGTGCTGATCCTCCAAGGGTCCCAGTGCGGGGAGTTTGCCATGAGACTGTGCTGATTTGATTGAATGTTCTAGAATTCTCAGCGTGTAACTTTTTCTTTGGGGGCCCACGAGAAGATGTGCAGTGTTGGCCTGCTTAGGTCCCTGCATGTCACTGTCTTCCTCACTAGATTTTTTTTCCCCTCCTGCATTATTTTCAGAGGAATGTTGATACTTTTTTTGCATTAAAGTTTTTGCTCATTGTAGTTTAACTGGTCTGGGCTCGAAGCAGAGGCTGACCCACAGAAACCCTGATGGCTACACAGCTGGAATGGCCCTAAGCACATAGCTCAGACCCATCCCAGGGTTTCAGGCTGTGAGAGCACTTCCTGTGAAGTGCTGGGTGAAGAGGTTGGGGAAGACCTCGTGGGCACAAAGAGGCTCCATGGTGACTTCATGCCAGCATCAGACACTCTCCATTCGCCAGAATGAGCTGGGCACAGTCCTAGATCCCGGGTACAGCCATGGGGACCTGGGCAGTCTCGTGACATTTTAAGTTTTGTTCCTGAAGAAGTCCAGCCAAGTCCCATTCATGTCCTGTCCTTTGTTTGTTTGTTTGTTTTTTTAATGAGTGATGGATTTTTTTTTTTAATATTTTTTATTTATTTCTAGGAGAGAGAGACAGTGTGAGCAGGGGAGGGTCAGAGACAGAGGGAGACACAAACTCTGAAACTGGCTCCAGGCTCTGAGCTGGCAGTCAGCACAGAGCCCGACGCGGGGCTCGAACCCACGAACCGCGAGATCATGACCCAAGTGAAAGTCAGACGCTTAACCGACTAAGCCACCCAGGCGCCCAAAGTGTGGCCAGCTGCGTTGGCCGGGAATCGAACCCGGGTCAACTGCTTGGAAGGCAGCTATGCTCACCACAATACCACCAACGCTGCTCTCATGTCCTGTCCTTTGAAAGCACAAGTCTGGAGGAAGACTTTGAAAGAGGAAGGTGGTTTTCTTGCTGGCGAGACCCCACCCCTGCTGCCCCAGGGCGTCCTTCCCCTGTTGGCCAGAAGGGGGCAGTGCAATGCCTGTCCAATCAAGTCCCACTCAAGGCTTGGATTTGGCTTCTTCCTACAGGAGGCGTTTGCTTCCAGAAGAGCTTGCAGCCTTGGAGTTGAGGCTGAGGCCCTCAAAAATATAAAAAAGTAACTGGGTCCCTGAGCCTTTGGGGATTGAGAGGAGTGGAAAGGTAGGTGGGTAGGGAGGATGGATGGGGGAAGGCACGGTCACGTGTGGATAATTAAGACCTGGGCACCAGACCTTGGCTCTATCACACCAGTGGGTCTCTGATCTCTTTCTGACCTGGGCCATTCTCCTCCTCCTCAGGTCTCTGGGTTTAGGTGGACTTGAACTCTGCCTTCCCTGTCATGAAAACCCCCCTCAAAGACAAGAATCCTCTCCAATCCCACAAGCTTCTTGGCTACCCTGTGTCCAAGGGCTGCCCACCTCTCACTCTCGTCTCCTGCCTCCCTGGAGCCCATCTCCGAATTAGGTGAAAACTCAACAGCTCTTGCAGAAGGTGTGTTTCAGCATTGGGAAGCCTGCATTTGGATCTTTTAATTACTTATTTCTAGGAAGATTTTTAAGTAATCTGTACACCCAGCATGGGGCTCGAACTCACACCCTGAGATCAGGAGTTGCTCACTCTATCGACTGAGCCAGCCAGGTGCCCCGGATCTCTTAACCAAAAGTTGTGTTCATTTGGCATGATCCTCTTGAAGGGCTACAGATGGGCCGGTCAGCAACTTTACATAAAGTGAGTGGGCCCTGACATGCTTCCCAGCTCCACAGAGCCCAGGAGGCAGTGGGGAGTGGTGGACACTGGCTGCCCTGTCTCAAGGGGGTGGCTGTTCTTTACCTCCACCCAAGGGGGCTATGTAGGAATTCAGACCCCGTGCTGCCAGATCATCTGGTGCTTTGCAAGAGAAGCTGGGCATCCAGATTCTTCTGTGGAGAATTTAGTTACCTCATTTTGGGGGTTATCTACTTTGTACAATTCACTCATTTAAAGTGTACAGTTGGGTGGGTTTTAAGTTCAACATTGTGCATTCATCACCACAATCCATCTTATCTTATTTTTAAATTTTATTAATTAAAAAAAATTTTTTTTTGAGAGACAGAGGGTGAGTGGGAAAGAGGCAGAGAGGGAGAGAGAGAGAGGGAGACACAGAGTCTGAAGCAGGCCCCAGGCTCTGAGCTGTCAGCACAGAGCCCGACGTGGGGCTCCAACCCAGGAGCCGCGAGATCATGACCTGAACCCAAGTTGGACGGCTAACCAACTGAGCCACCCAGGTGCCCCCACAACAATCCATTTTAGAACATTTTCATCATCCTGAAGAGAAACCCCACCAATGCCATTTGCAGTCCCTTCTCATTTCTCCTTGTCTCCCAGACCCTGGCAGCCACAAATCTACTTCCTGTCTCTAGGATTCACCTACCCTGCACATTTCATGTGAATGGGATCATACGGTATGTGATGGCTTATTTCCTTCTGGCTTCACTTAATACAATGTCTCAAGTTTCATCCATGTTGTGGCACGGATGGGTATTCCTTTTTATGGCTTAGTAAATTCTATTCTGTGGATAGACCACTTTTGTTTTCCAGTCATTCACTGATAGACATTCGGGTTATTTCCAGCATTTGGCTGTCATCAACAATGCTATGAAGTTGTCTCATTTTAAGGTGTTGGCAGCGACTTACATAAGGTAAATCCTCAAGCTCATAGAGACAAAGTGGAGTGGTTCACGCAGGGTGGGGTGGGAGGGGGCCAGGAGGAATGGGAAGTTAGTGTGTAACAGAGTGGGACACTCTGTTACAGTGTGGGACAGAGTGTCAGTTTGGGAAGACAGAAGAGTCCTAGAGAAGGATGGTGGTGAGGGCAGCACAATACTGTGAATGTAATTAATGCCACTGAACTATATACTTAACAGTGACTAAAATGGTAAATTTTGTGTAAATTTTACCAGTTAAGAAAATGAAAAATGTTGGAAGCTAGCTAATGTATTTCAGGCACCAAATTTCAGAAAACCAGGCACACGTGTCATCCACCCATCTGGGGACACCTCCGCCAGCAGATGTCATAGTGCTAGGAGTCATCCGCTCCGTGCGGTGCTGACCCAGACTCCCCAGCGCTCTGGGAGCCCTGATCCACACGTGCTTCCTTTCTGTAGTGATGCACAGGCAGCGCACCTTGACTTCAGTGTCCAGGGTGTGGGAAGGACCAGTTCCTCTCCGGCCACATTTGGGAATTGACAAGAGCCAAGGGAAGAGGGTCGACGTGAATGTGTTACAGATCAGATGGTTTAAATACTAGGACTGTTGTCTTTTTACCTTCTGGCCCCACATGCACAGCCCCCTGTACTATCAACACCTCCACAAGAGTGGGATATTCGTTCCACCTGATGAACCTACTATGATGCATCATTTATCCCCTGAAGTCACATTTCCATTAGGGTTTGCTCTTGGTGGTGTACATCCTATAGATTTGGACAAATCTATCATGATGTGTGATTAGAATATCCTAGAGTAGTTTTACTGCCTAGGACCTGGTTTTTGTGTGCAGAGTGGACAGCTCATAGCACATGGAGCATTCTGACTGTTGTGCACAGTTCTATTTATTTCACTGGCTTTGGGCTGTTTCTGCTTAGATCCACTGCTTTGGCCACACTTAGGGTGGGGGCAGCGAACAGGCTGAGGGCACTGGAGGCTAGCAGGGTTTGACCATTTGTCTCAGAAGGAGGGGAAGGGTGACCTGGAGATGTCAGACATTGCTTGTCACAAATGATCTCACGGCGTCCTAGGGGCAGCCTGGCCAGGTAACACTGGGTAAGCAGACTGGCAAGGCTCAGCAACGTGCCCAGCTTCTGTCCCTTTGGGTGACGTGTGCCTGGAACCCGACGCGGGCTTGCTGGTTTGCTCTGCATCTGGGCACAGTGGACTCCCCCAGGCTCCGTACTGACCACGGGCCACTCTAGGATCTCATCACGGTGGATCTCAACCCTAAGCAGGTGTTTCCCACCCTCGGGTATGGGGCACTTGGGCATCACATAGGGCTGGACGCAGATGGCCTCTTAACATTCTCTTGCTGACGCTGCTGGGCTTGGAAGCCTGTGCTGTCATGGCCTGCCCTCCTGCCCTGTCTAGGGGCTTACTGCCCTCCCCTTATACCTCTGCCTGTCCCTGTTCCCCTAAAACAGGCCCCTCCTCCCATTTATGTTTCCCATTTTCTGCAGTTCTATGTCAATCTAGAACTATTCATGCATACTGGTATCTGGGTCTCTCACCAAGTGAAGCTCCTCAAGGTAGAGAGCATAACTTTTTGATTAACATGGTTAACCTGGCACAGTGGTAAGTTGTCAAATGCTTTTTCAAGTAATTAATGGATCAAATGAATCTAATGGCACTGCTGTCGGTCTTCATGACTGCAGGTTCTGAGGCTAAGGCAGGGGAGTAAAGAGAGCCACGACCGACGATACGCAAATCCATACAGGAAAAACACGCCTGCCGTGGAGCCTCAGGCATCTGACCTGTGTTCTCTGGGCGTTGCTCCCTCTCCTCTGAAGTGTGTGGGAGGGGGGAAGTCAAACCACCCCCACCTCCCAGGCCTGTGTGCACACTACAGGCGAGGCAGCGCTGTCCCTTCCTTGGCTTTATTCCCCGGCCTTTCCTGTAAGCAGGGTGTCACCTTTTCTCACTGGTGTCCAATTATGGCGACCTCTGGTCCAGTCCACTGCTGCCCTCCAGACGTTTTGCTGGGCTGCTGCCGCTGGGGTGAGGAGAGGAAAAGGGAGAAGGGGTCGGTCTTGCTGCCTTCAAATTTCAGGAAAGAATGTGTGGTTGGCCTCACCAGCTCTCTGGAAATGAAGGCTGTATACGCCCTGATGTCCAAAGGCCTTGCTTATGGCCGGTATAGGGAATCCCCTCTGTCAGTCAAACAGTACAAACAGTGGTCAGAGCCGCTCCTCTGGGCTGTGGTCACAGCACGGTCTCCCACCTGCCAGAATAAACTTACAACTGCATTTAAGTCGTGTGTCTTCAGCCCTCAAGCCCCTGCAAAGGGAGGGGGCTGGGTCCCCTCCACTTGATGCTTCCTGTTGGGATTTTCATGCCCCAGCAGCTGTCGCCCCAACCCCAGTCCGTGAAACAAAGCCCTTTTCTTTTGGAAGCCATCTGTGAAAACAATGCCCTTTATTTAAAACATAACTTTTTTCCAACATGAGAACGGATCACTGTGACTTTTATCTCCTTTCCCCCGAGATGGGGCTGAGAGGAGGCAGGGTCAGAGCTCAGCAAAGTCCCCTTTGTGCTGCTCCAGCCACTGGTCCAGCGTCTTGGCCTTGGGGTTGAGCCTCAGGGTCATTTCAATGTCACGGTCAGGTTTCAGGGCATAGAAACGGAACATGTTGGCCAGGTCCCGGGCACCAGGGAAGCTATACTTCTCGTAGTCCTCTGGGGTCGTCTGGAAGCAGAGGGAAGTCTTTGGGGGTCTGTCAGCATCCCCAGTACCCTGACTGTTGGCAACTCAGTTCCAACCCAGGTCCTTACCAGTAAGTTCATCTGAAAACCCTTCTACTAAGAAAATTAAAGTTCTAGGGGCGCCTGGGTAGTTCAGTCAGTAAAGTATCTAACTTTAGCTCAGGTCATGATCTCATGGTTTGTGGGTTCAAACCCCACATGAGGCTCTGTTAGCACAGAGCCCACTTTGGATCCTCTGTCTCCTTCTCTCTCAAAACAAATAAACTTAAAAAAGTTTTTAAGTTAAAAAACCACTGTTCTAAGTCAACAAATCCTGTTCAAGGATTTGTGCTTGGTTGGTTCAGTCCAAAGAATGTGAGACTCCTGATCTCAGAGTTATAAGTTCGAGCCCCACAATGGGTGTAGAGATTACTTTAAAAAAAATCATAGGGGCGCCTGGGTGGCTCACATGGTTGGGCAGCCGACTTTGGCTCAGGTCATGATCTCGTGATTTTTGAGTTCAAGCCCTGCCTTGGGCTCTGTGCTGACAGCTCAGAGCCTGGAGGCTGCTTCTGATTCTGTGTTTCCCTCTCCCTCTGCCCCTCCCCTGCTCATGCTCGGTCTCTCCAAAATAAATAAACGTTAAAAATAAAATAAAAATTAAAAAAATATATTAAAAAATCATAAATCCTGTTCTTTCAAGATCAGAAGATGGAAACTTCTCAGCACTTTTCAAACCACTACCCTGTTAACATCACTTTCTTGCTTAAAAACCAGAGCTGTTCCCCTTTCCTGACCAAACTGAACCTGAACTCCTCAGCTCCTGAAATCCTCCATGGCTGCCTCAGACTTCTGTTTAGAGTAATGTGTGGCCATTTTAGGGCACGTTTTCTAGAGCAGCTCAGAGTGCTAAGTAAGTGTGTACCTTGATTATTCCGTTAAATTCCAACAAGCAAGGAAAGGGATACTATTCATAGTTTTACAGACGAGGATACTGAGGCAGAGAGGGTCAGGGCTTGCGCCCCAAGGTCACACACTGGTGGGTGTTAAGGGCTGGGAATAGGATCCGAGTCTGGGGGTCTGACCCACCTGAAACACGCCCTGCCATGGCCTTCCCATCGTTGCTCTGCTCCCTTCCTGTAACTCTACAGGTGGTTTCTGTCTTTCAATAATGTGAGAGTTTCTCGGCCTTTAATTAAGTCTTACTTCCATAACGGGAAGGACAAATAAGAAACTAGGCCCCTGGGTGTCTGAACGGGAAGACTGTGAGAGTCAGTGGGGAGAGGAAGGGACATAGTCAGGCCACAAGGAGACAGGGGTGGGGCCCATCTCTCTGGCCTCCTTCCCTGCCCAGCACGCTCTGTGTGTTCACTCTCTGCCTTGGCCCCTAATGCCCCTCTTCCTAGAAAACTTTCTTGTACTTAGTCAACTGCTTAAGCCAGAAACTTCTCTCACCAGCCACACGTGACTCCCAAGAACAGCATGACAAGTGCTCACAGTGACAAATTCAGATTCACTTTGTCCAGAGAGGGGGGCAGCCCTAGACACCGCTTCCCTACCACCCAGAGCTCCCCCTGGGAGTCAGAGCGACCAGACCGGGGTTGCTGGAAACCCCTGGTGGGAGCTGAGACATCACCCAGCGCGGGCTCCGGGGGCGGCAGGGGCCCACCTTGGCGCTGCGCACGGCCTTGCCGGTGTGTTTGGAGAGCAGGGCGGCATACTCTTCCGCCGTGTGCCTGCAGGTGCTGAGCCCGATGTTCTGGCCGATGTATTCTTCTGGCTTCTTCAGGAGGCTGAGCACCACAGGACCCAGGTCAGTCACAGATATGCCATCCATGGGCACATCACCCATGGGCAAGCCTGGGAGGGAAGTGGGGGGAACAGGGATGTGCTGGGGTTAAGGCTGGTGTTCCCACCAGCCAATCGCCCAGACACAGGCACAGGTCAGCACCCTCCGGTGTCTGCGGCGGCGGCAAGCAGTGCAGCTCAGTCAGCAAATGGGATCCAATCCGAGCTCTGCCACACTGGCACCCTGGTGACACCCCGAGCCCTGTTACTCCGTTTATAGAGTGGAGGGAACCCCAGACCTACAACCCCCTCAGGGCTAAGACCAGAACAGGAAGGAAATGAAGGGGCTGCTCCCAAGGCCTGCCGGTCACATCCGGAATTCCTGCCATGGAAAACCAAGTCCACCAGCAGTCGTGCTGGAGAGCCAAGGCCAGGGCCTGGCCCTGAGCAGCGCGTGGAGGGTGCTTGGTAAGTGTGCTGAATCCCGGTGACCCCGCGTGCCAAGGCGGTCTGGTGGAGAGCAGAGAGGTGTCTACATGTGGTGCCAGGAGCACGTGGGTCCTGCTGCACCCCTCACGCAGGAGAAGGGGCCACTGCAGCTGGCCATTCAGGTCACCCAAAGACCTTGCAGGGACAGAGCTCCAACCAGAGACGCAACACAAGAGATATCTCCAACCAGCTTTGCAAACTATTAAGGGCAGTGCCAGTGTGGCAACTCTAGGCCCAGACTGCTCACCCTCCCTGCTGGGCAGGACTGAAGCGAGGGTGAGCCTTTGTTCACGGTGTTCACACAGAGGGCGAGGGGTGGCCGGCTGAGGACACCGACCTCACTGGGCCTGATCTTCCAAATTCTCTTACTTCTGAAGGAAAAGTAACAAGTGCACTCGTTTCTGTATAGCATTGCATTGCTGCCTCTGGGCAGATTTTCTCAACAGCCCTGCAACGGTCGGTTATGCCCTTTTCACAGAGCAGGAAGCAGAGGCCCAGTGTCATAGGCCTGACAGAGAGAATCGGAACCATCTGAGGACTAGCCAACTTTCTCCAATACCCATGGCTCCCTTTGGTGAGAGAGGACACTTGAGAAAGGAGGAACGGCACTCACTCAGCAAGTAGCTCTTTCCATCTGGAGCTTTCTGGGGCAGGAAGTAGGAGAGTAGGTTCTCGAAATAGCAGGCCAGCCGCACGCTGGTCATGGGAACTCCGATGTCCCGGAAATACTCCTCCACCTCCCCTTTGCCTTCAAAGTGGCCCGCTGCCAGCCTCCCGGCAGTCAGCTTCTTGATGTTCTCCAGGCCACTGTAGACCACGTAGCGAAGGCCCAGGCGCTTGGCCAGATCAGCCAGCAGCTTTCCCTGGTGGGCAGGAAAGGAGAAATCACAGAGCGGAGAGGGAAGACGTGTATCCCCAGCCACTTTCTGATGCTAAGAGGCCAACGCCACTCCACCCTCGTCCCTCTTCTGGAACGATGCTCACACATGGTTACACGTGTGGACTGTGAGCCTTCTACCTTAGCCTCCCTTCTCTAGATCATCTGGGTTGTCCTACTTCCTGATATGTTCAACTACAGCCCACCCGTGTACGATATGGGGGTGGGGTGGAGGGTCGAGAGAGGTCCACACAGAGGTCTCAGCTCGGCCTGCTCTGCGCAAAGCCACCATCCTCGGAGGGCCCCAGCAGTCCGCGAGGGTGGCGGTGTGGCTCTGCAATTAGGCACACAGACCGCGCAGGTGCCACTGCGGGGCTGCGATTACGCACTGGCCGTGTGATCCAGGACAAGCAACTTAACCGTCTGGCAGGGTCAGTTAAACAGGGACAGCCACACCACCTGTGCATGAGGATGTCTTGGATGGTGGCCTCCAGAAAGATGTGTCCATGTCTTAACCCCCAGAACCTGTGAATGTGACCTCACTCAGGAAAAGAAATCTGCAGACAGAACTAAGGATCATCCCAGTGGGTTCTCAAGCTGACGACGAGTGTCCCCACAAGAGACCGAAGAAGAGAAGACAAAGCAGAAGGCCCATGAAGGCAGAGATGGGGTGACGTGGCCACGAGGGGAGTCTGCAGCCACCAAAAGCTGGACGAGGCAAGGAGTGTAATCCCCTCAGAGCTTCCTTTTGGAGGCTCCTAGATTCCCGACTTCTGGCCCTCAGAACGAGAGCATAAATTCCTGTCGTTTTAAGCCAGTCGGCTGGTTACAGCAGCCACGGGACACCAACACAGGCTGTCAGGATAATGAGCCGAGATCCGCATCCTTCTATGATCCTCCTCTATGGGACAGGCTTCCCCATAAGTGTATTCAAAGAAAATGTCAAGGCTAAAAACAACTTTGGAGACCCAGTCCAATCTCTCTTTATTTTACAAAGGCCTTTTTCCCCTAACAAAGCCCAGGGCAGGGAAGGTGCATGTCTAGGGCAGAGCTGCAACTGGTTGTGAACGAGGCAGGGCTGAAAGATGAAGTGATGGAAACGCAGCCGGGGCCTCTCCTCTGCCACCAACAATACATCCCACAGACACCTGAGTCTATGTGACAGGGTCTGTGTGAGTGTCCCCGTCTTCAGAGAGAAAGATGGCTATGTCTCTCTCATGTTCTACGTCCCATGTCCCTCCCCTTGCCACCTGGGCTCCATAACCAACTAACTAGAGAGAATGTGGGTGGAAAACAGAGTAAACATACAACATACAGAGGGGTCATGAGCTTTCTGGGATGATAGAAATGTATTTTGATTAGATTGGTAATATAATGGGTATAATCAGGAGTGCCTGGGCGTCTAGCCATGATCTTGCTGTTCCTGAGATGGAGCCCCAAGTCGGGCTCAGCAGTGATAGTGCAGAGCCTGCTTGAGATTCTCTCTCTCCTTCTCTTTAACCCCCCCAATAAGTAAACAAACATATATATACATATATATACATATTATATATATATATATATATACGCACACATATTTATTTTCAAATTCTGTCAAAATATACAATTTAAATGTGTGCATCTTATTATTAGGAAATTATGGGTCAACAGAGTTATTTTTTTAGAAAGTGTAAAAAGTCACTGGATAAAAAAGTAGATGATCAGTTGCTTGGGGCTGGGGGGAGGGAAGAATGGGGAATGACTGCTAATAGGTACAGTTTCTCTTGGCAGTGATGGAAAACATTCTAGAATTAGGTAGTAGTGATGGCTGCACAACTTTGAGAATATACACTGAATTATACACTTTGAAAGGGCATCGTGTATGGTACCTGAATGGTATCTAAAAAATAAAATCAGGGTGCCTTGGTGGCTCAGTTGGTTGAGTGTCCAATTCTTGGTTTTGGCTCAGGTCATGATCTCTTGGTTCATTGAGTTCGAGCCCTGCATTGAGCTCTGTGATGACAGCATGGAGCCTGCTTAGAATTCCCTCTCTCCCTCTCTCTCTCTTTCAAAATAAATAAATTAACTTTTAAAAATTAAAATAAAAACCACTGAAAGAGAAAGCAGCTGCCTCCCATCCTCATTAAAGTCCAGGTGGACTGCGTGGAAGAGGAGGGGAAAAGTCTGCAGTCGTCAGTGGGGCACAGGCAGGGTCAACCCCTTTCTAACAAATTGGAGCTACTTCCCAGGAAGCTCCTTGTAAGATGCCTCGCTCCTAGCCCAGAGTCTCCACACCCTCCCTGCTGCCCTCACCTGCTTGACTTCCTGCTCCTGGCTGCAGTTTTCCCAGTAGTTGGTCACGATGAAGGCAGCGTGAGCCCCAGTCAGGGCCAGCTCCATACTGGCTTCGTCATTCTGGTCTCCTTGCACCACTTCTGCACCCTGCAGCCTCAGCTCCTTTGCTGCCCTCTGCCCAGGGTCTCGAGTGACCACTCGGACCCTGAATGTCCCATCTTCCAGGAGCGTCCGGGCCACTGAGCCTCCCTGAGCACCTGCGAAGAGTCAGAAAGGCCTGCAGGGTCAGGCCTGCCTGGGAGTCCTGAGGTAGGCCCCTGAGGTAAGGCTCCACTACAGCCAGGCGACCAGACCCTTTCCACCTGCGATCCTCCATGTAAAGGGTATATTTAAAAAGTACTTTTAAAAAGGGTATATTTAGGGGCACCTGGGTGGCTTAGTCGGTTAAGCGTCCGACTTTCGCTTAGGTCATGATCTCGCGGTTCGTGGGTTCGAGCCCCGCGTCGGGCTCTGTGCTGACTGCCAGCTCAGAGCCTGGAGCCTGTTTCAGTCTGTGACTCCCTCTCTCTCTGACCTTCCCCTGCTCACGCTGTCTCTCTCTCTCTCTCTCTCCTAGAAATAAATTAAAAAAAAAAAAAACATTAAAAAAATAAAAAAATAAAAAGGGTATATTTAAAAAGGGCACTTGGGTGGCTCAGTCGGTTAAGCATCCAACTTCAGCTCAGGTTATGATCTCACGGTTTGTGGGTTCAAGCCCCACACTTAGGCTCTGTGCTGACAGCTCAGAGCCTGGAACCTCCTTCAGATTATGTGTCTCCTTCTCTCTCTTCCTCTTCTCCTATTCATGCTCTATCTACCTCTCACTCTCTCTCAAAAATAACATTAAAAAATTGTTTTAAAAAGAATATTTCGTGCCCCTTAAAAGAAAACCCACAGCCATCAGCAATCACTCTCCATTTCCCTCCCTCTCAGCCCTGGCAGACCACTCACCTACTTTCTGTCTCTACGGATCTGCCTATTCTGGACATTTCACACAAATGGAATCATATAACATGTAGTCTGTTGTTTGGCTTCTTTCACTCAGCATACGGTTTCCAAACTTCATTGATGTTTTAGCATCACATCTTTTATAAAATATTTAAAATGGGTGCCTGGATGGGTCAGTTGGTTAAGTGTCTAACTTCGGCTCAGGTCATGATCTCATAGTTCATGAGTTCAAGCCCCACAATGGGCTCACTGTTGACAGTGTGGAGCCTGCTTGGGATTCTCTCTTGGGATTCTCTCTCTCTGTCCCTCCTCTGCTCATGCTCACTCTCTCTCTCAAAAATAAATAAACATTAAAAAAAAAAAAAAGAAAAGTAAAAAATGTATTACAGGGGCAGCTGGCTGGCTCTGTAGGTAAAGCATGCAACACAGGATCAGGGATTTCAAGTCCCACTTTGGGAGTAGAGTTTACTTTACAAAAAAGTAAATGAAATGTATTACAAAATATTTAGCACATACACAAAAGCATGCTGACACCCATGTACCCACCGCTTAGCTTAAGAAATAAAGTATTACCTATATCTTTTTTCTAAAAAAGACGGAGGGATGCCTGGCTGGCTCAGCTGGAAGAGTGTGTAACTCTTGATCTCAGGGTCGTGAGTTTGAGCCCCATGTTGGGTATCGAGATTACTTGAAAATCACAAAAAATAAAATCATCAAGGGGCGCCTGGGTGGCACAGTCGGTTAAGCATCGGACTTCGGCTGGGGTCATGATCTAGTGGTTCGTGGGTTCAAGCCCTGCATTGGGCTCTGTGCTGACAGCTAGCTCAGAGCCTGGAGCCTGCTTCAGATTCTGTGTCTCCCTCTCTCTCTGACCCTCCCCTGCTCATGCTGTCTCTCTCTTTCTCTCTCTCAGAAATAAATAAATAAATAAATAACCTTAAAAAAATAAAATCATCAAAAGGAAGAAAATAAAAAATCATCCATAAATATATATACAAGAAAAGTGGATCCAGCACTATGTGCAACAGTGGAAATTTGTAGATAAACAAGATGTCCTTTGGTAAGAATCTGGTTAAATAAGTGATCAATTCATACCAAAGTGATTACAAAGAATGTGGCAGATCTGTATGTGTGACTTGGACAGGTGAACGTGACCTATCCTGGAGTGGAAAAGGCAAGGTGCAGAACCACAACAACCTTCACACAGTACTGATGGGAATGTAAAATGGTGCAGTCACTTTCGAAAAACGTCTGGCAGTTTCTCAAGGTGCTAAGCACAGCGTTACCCTATGACCCAGCAATTCCGCTCTAGATATATACCCAAGAAAATTAAAAACATGTTCACACAAAAACTTGTACATGAACAAGTTGTTGTACTTGTTCACAACAGCATTATTCACAACAGGTAAAATGTCCCGCAATGGAAGAGTGGATAAACACAATGCAGCCTGCCCATAAAACGGAGTATTATTCAGACATAAAAAAAAGGAGTACTGCTGCAAAGTGGATGAGCCTCAAAAACATGATACCGAGTGAAAGAAGCCAGTCATAAAAGGCCACAGAGTGTATGATTTCATTTATACGAAATTTCTAGAATGGACAAATAGTAGATTGATGGCTACCAGGGGCTGGGGAAAGTTGAAGAAACGGAGTAATTTGCTAGTGGGTGTGACGTTTCTTTTGGGAGTAATGGCACTGTCCTAAAACCGACTGCCAATGATGGCCCTAGAGCTCTGTGAGTATACCAGAAACCAACCAACTGCACACTTGGGGCGCCTGGGTGGCTCAGTCGGTTAAGCATCCAACTTCGGCTCAGGTCATGATCTCACGTTAGTGGGTTTGAGCCCTGCAGCTGGCTCTGTCAGCACAGAGCTCAGAGCCTGGAGGCTAGTTTGGATCTGTGTCTCCCTCTTTCTCTGTCTCTCCCTGTCTCAAAGATAAATAAACATTGATCTTTTAAATAAAAATACTTACAAATATTTATTTTGAGAGCAAGTGTGAGAGGGGCAGAGAGAGGGAGAGAGAGAGAATCCCAAGCAGGTTCTGCAGTGTCACTGCAGAGCCCAATGTGGGGCTAGAACTCACGAACCTGGGGATCATGACCTGAGCCAAAGTCATAACCTGAGGCTTAACTGACTGAGCCACCCAGGCGCCCCAAGCCACCAAACCTCACACTTCAAATGGGTGAACTGTATAAGTGCTTTAGATCTTAAGCTGTTACACATTTTTAAAAACATATAGTACAAGAAAGAACAAAATAGATGATGGCAAAGTAGGATACTTTGCCATTAAAAAAAAAATCTTTGTATATATCCAATCTGGTAGGATACTCAAGAAATGATGACAGCGATGGATGGGGTTGCTGAGACTGAGGGAGGAGGGAGATTTACTTTTGGTATTATGTGCAAGTGTCACTTATTCAAAGAAGTTAAAGTAATTAACTTTTTTTAAAATACAAAGGGGATGTGCTCGCAGGTCCTGCTCCAGGCCCTCCGGCCGGTTCTGGGGTCCGGGCCACAGGACCCTCCTTCCGGCCGGGCCCGCCCCTTCCCCCCCCCCCCCCCCCCCCCCCCCCCCCCGCGGTCAGCCAGGCTCTGCGGGGCTGCGCTGGGCTCGCTCACCTGTGGCTCCAAACACCACCACCAGTTTCTTGTCCGCCATGCGAGCCGGAGCGGGGAGTGCGGTCCCTGAGGCCTGGGGGCCGCGGTGAGGACGGGGGTCCCCGCCTGGGACGAACCCAGGAGCGCACCGCGGGGGCCCGACGGGCGGCCGGCCGGGAGAAGTACGGGCCGCGCTCCGCCCGCTCCGCCCCTTCTCGGCGCCCGACCCCCGGGCCCAGGCGCGGTACCGGGTCCCCACCCACAGCGCGGTGCCCCGGAACTGCGGTACCTCAGCGCCGCAGATCAGGCGGAAAACCAAAGAAGAGGGAACAAGGGCCCGGAAATCTGCAGCCGAGCGCACCTCGGCAGGGGTGGGGTGAGGGGGAACCTGAGAAACGGCGGATCCGTCCGCAGCTCCAGCCCCTCCTCGGCAAGGCCACGCCCCCTCAGCCGTCCGCCGCGACGGGACGCCAGGCTGCGCCGCTTCAGAACCCCCGCCGTCCAGTCGCTCATTGCTCGCGGAGCCGACCCGCCACCCCCGCCGGCGGACGCGGGTGGTGCGTCCCACCTAGGCTCGCGTTCTCGCGTGTGCAGCCCCCCCGCCCCCCCGGCAGGGCGGAAACCGGCTTTGCGGGCCTCGGGGCTCCGCTGAGCTCGCGTGCGGAGCTGCTCGGCAGGATGCAGGCGTTGAAGTCTACGGAAGCCGAAAACCGAAAGCAGAAACAAAAACGCACGTCTTTGTCCTGCATGAACATCTGAACTTGCAGATACGCGGTGTCACCTGAGGAGAATTAAATCCGCATGTGGGACTCTCAACATTCAAGGCCCCGCGTTCTTGTATGCCTGACTCATGTTTGAGGTTGCTTCTGGTTGCACGATTTTGAATTATTTCTTACAGAAAAAGTGAGATTTCTTTGTGTTCAACGAAAACTCAAAAATGGCCCTGTAGCTCCTCTCCTGAAAATGTATTGCTGGAGAAGAGCGTTCCTTTCCTTTCATTCACTTGTTCGTTCCAAAATGTGTATTGGCCGGTCCAGGAATGTCCGCTTCGTAAGAGCAGGCACATCTTTGTATTCACTGCTGAATTTCCAGCACTTAACAGAGCACCTGGCACGTAGTCGCTCAGTAAATATTTGTTGATTGACCGGTTGTCTAAATACCCAGGCCCTGGAGTTACGGAAAACCCAACTAAATCCGGTGCCGTTTCCCCGAATCTAGTGGTGCACATAACTAACTCTCAGGGTAATGTGTTTTTTACCCATCTTTATACTCTATCGTTTTAAAGCTGTTTTTGTAATGTGTAATTTATGTAAATTGTTGGTCTTTATTTATTACAAAATGCATGTATAAAGGCATGCGGGGCTGGCTCAGTCAGTAGAGCATGTGACTCTTTATTCCCAGGTCATGAGTTTGAGCCCCCAGTTGGGCTTAGAGATTACTTTAAAAAAGGAAATAAATAAATTTCAAATGAGATAATGTGGCGCTTACTTTATGCCTGACACATAGAGTAAGCTCAGAGGACTGGCCCTGTTATCATTATTAGCACATGTCACTGGGCTGGGTGAACTGGCAAGAACTTTGCAGGAAGTCTTCCTCAGATATAAAGTCCCACAGGAAGTGCAGATTCTCCGCTGAGCACACCAGTCAATAGCTAAATCTTTCCCCTCAGGCCTCAAGGGACCACCCTGGGTTGTGGCCTGGGTGGGGCAAACAAGGCCTTTCCCCAGGCTACCAATAATGTCCACCCACTTCCAGGAAGACCCCTGGCACGGGCACCACTGACCAGAAGCCCAGAGCCGGGACACTCATTCTCTGCCACTCATTTCCTGCACTGATTTCCAGATTGTAGGTTGAGCAAGGCCAAAAGGCAGTGGAGTTCCTTGTGTCCCACTGTGGCCCCGGGATGCTAGTCAATGAAACCTGGGCACCAGCGCTGGCTACACAGGCTTATAACCTGAGCAGATGCACAGGGTCCCGCTCTGAGAAGGACCCGCATGCTTGGTTTAAGACTCTGCTGTTGTTTTCTTGAAATTCTTGATAATTTTTTTTATGCTTATTTATTTCTAAGAGTGAGACAGAGCATGAGTGGGGGAGGGGCAGAGAGGGAGACACAGAATCCAAAGCAGGCTCCAAGCTCTGAGCTGTCAGCACAGAGCTCAATGAGGGGCTTGAATTCACAGAAGGTGAGATAATGACCTGAGCCGAAGTCGGACGCTTAAACGACTGAGCCACCCAGGTGCCCCTTAAAAAATTTTTTAATGTTTATTTTTGAGAGAGCGAGCGAGCGAGCATGAGCCGAGGAGGGTCAGAGAGGGCTGGAGACACATAATCCAAAGCAGGCTCCAGGCTCCTAGCTGTCAGCAAACAGCCCAACTGTGGGCCACCCAGGCACCCCTTAAATTTGGTTTTGATAGCCAAGGAATATATAATGTGTTTATGCATCTCATTAAAAAAATATAAATGGTACAGCTAAAGGACAAGTGACCCTGGACCTCCGTCATTCTAGTGTGTAAACCTTCCTGACTTTTGGATGCATTTTGATACCTAAACATGAACATGTGGAAAAAATATTTTGTAGTTAAAAAACTTAAAAAGAGACCATACTGGATATATTTCCCCCAATTTTATTGTGAAAATATGTAGACATATAGAAAAGTTGAAATAACTATATAATGAACACCCATACAAATACCACCCAGAATCTACAAATTATTCTATACTTATCAGACACCTGTTATCCATCGACTTTATTTTTTGATACATTTCAAGTAGATTGCAGACATCAGTGCCCTTCACCCTTAAACAATTCACATACACACTAGAGTTCAATATATTTTTTAGGTTAAATTTACACACGGTCAAATGTTATTTTTGTATTTTCGTACTTCTGGCTTTTCCTTTCTGCTGAACATCCTCCCTAAGGTGGTGTCTGCCTTTCCCTTTTTAACAGAGGCACGACTCCGTTAACTAGATGTCCCCCTGTCAACCCCCACTCCATCTTCCTTCAAACAATGTTAAGGTTGTTTCCAGATTTTCACACAAATGGCGCATGCATCCCCTTACATGGTGCAACGACATTCGTTGCTTGCGCCTCTTTGGGTTCTTGCACGCATTGCTCTCTAACGGTTACCGAGAAGTGGAATTGTTTGAACACAGAGAAGGCCCATTCTAAGCTCTAACAGATCTCGCTAAATTGTCCCCCGTTCCCCAGTACCTCTCACGAACACCGCATATTCCGCACATCTTTGTCAACAGCCGACTGGACCGGTTATTTAATATGCAGCCAACCCGAAAGGTAAGGAAATGACGAGAAGCCAGTGTGGCTGGAACAGAAAGGGCAAGGTTGGAGCCCAGAGCGGGAGGAGCCTGGGCAGGTGGTGACACCGGGTAGGGAAAGCACGTATCCCCAGGGTAGGCGTTCCTCACTTACACCCGCTCTTATTAACGAACTCACTCCGGGGCGTCCTAGCCGCCTCTTGACCAGCGAGAAACGCCGCGTGTCCGCCGCAGGGGCGTGTCCTCTGCAGGCCCCGCCCCCGCTGCGTGCGCACGTCGGGCCGAGCTCGCGCCGCCCGCTTCGCTGCGGCTGCCGCGGCGCCTCAGGGAGTCGCTGACTGACGCGCGGACGCTGGGACCGACTTACTGCGGAGCGGACTTGCGGCGGGTGAGTGGCCGGCACCCTCTCCGGCCTTTTTTTCGGGCTCCTCGTCGAGTCTAGCCCGCCCGGGCCTTCGGGAGCTGGCAGCACCCTGCGCCCCCGGCGCGGGCCTGAAGGAGACCCAGCGGGCCGGGGCGGGGGGCGGCCGGACACGGGGTGAGCGGGGAGGGAGGGCCAGGCTGGGGTCCCCGCTTCCTCCGCGCTGTTTGGGAGGGCGGGAGAGGCCTAGTGGCCGGTCCGCGTTGGGCCCCGTTGGGCCCAGTCCCTCGCGGCGTCACGAGTGCTCCGGGCGAGGTGACCTCAGGCGCGCCGCGTGCGGACTCGGTGTTCCCGGCGGGAGTTGCAGCCTCCGTCTGCAGTCGGCCCGCCGGGACCCGGGCCTGCCCCGGCGCGGGAGATCCGTGCCCCGTGTGGCGGCTGCTGCGGGCTCTGCCCTTCCTCCTGACTCACCTCAGTCGGAAGGGCGTATTGAGTCACTGTCATGACTTCATGGGTGACCCGCGACCGCCGGGCGCAGAGCGATCGGGAGGGATCCTCGCCCGAGGCAGTCGGGTAGTCTGGACGGGGTTTACGGGTCACCTCGTCGGCGCGGTGTTGTAGGTGCACTGATTGCCTGCAGTTGTCAGGACCGCCTTGCACACTCTTTGCAGGAGGCCCGCCTGCCTGTGTGTCATGCTATTTAAATGGATTCTGAGGAGGAGCGCCTGGGTGGCTCAGTCGGTTGAGCCTCTCACTCTTGATTTCGGCTCAGGTCAGGGTCTGGCGGTTTGTGGGTTCTAAACCCTTATGGGGCTTTGTGCTGACGGTGCGGAGCCTGCTTGGGATTCTCTCTCCCTCTCCCCTCTCTCTCTCTCTCCTTCTCTCTCTCAGAATAAATGAATAGACTTGAAGAAAAAATGGATTCTGATGAACCTGTTGTTGTGGCCCGTGGCTTTTCCTGTTCATGGCTCTGTGGACGGGACAAGGCAGGATATGATTGGGGGTGGGGGGGTAAAAAAAAAAAAAAAAAAAAGGTAAACCTTGTATAATGCTCTGCCGTTCCCTGTCAGCCCCTTCCACAACCATGCAAATTGATAGGCTTTTCACTTATGAAATGGAATTAATGATGAAACTCTGGTTAAGTGACTTCACCTGCATCTCACAAAAAAGACGATGCCACAGGTGGCCTTGATCCTGGTCTGCCTACAAAATCCCGTGCTCTTTCCTAAATAGTGTTGTAGAGATTGGAAATGGGTTGTGTCATTTAAACTCTCTTCCTTCTCCCTGTTAACTGTCATTCCAAGTAGTAGGAAAGAGGAGCTTACTGGTTTTGTGTATTTGAGTTTCTGGTATGGTGTTACTTGTGTGTGTTTTAAGGTTTATTTTGGAGAGGGGACAGGAGCAGAGAGACAGGGGACAGAAGATTGCACAAGCAGTCTCAGCACTGACAGCACTGAGCCCCATTTGGGGCTCGAACTCCCCACCCGTAAGATCTTCACCTGAACCAGTCAGACACTCAACTG